TTTTTTTTGGGTTTTTTTTTTTTTTTTTCAGATGTTCTGTGGTGCTGCAGGGTAAGAAATACCCAGCAGGAGCGATAGCTTGCACCGAGTTCTTACAGACAGTCAAAAATGAAGGCTCCCTACCTTCACAAAATGGCAATATACTGATTTTTCAAAGTAAAAGGGTCATACTCCTCTATATCCTCTCAATCTGAATAATGTTATATAGTAAACTTAGTAAAATCCTCACAAAGAGTCACCACATTAATTTATGCAGGTAGCTGTGTTCACATCTATAAACAAACAAAAGAAGCGAAGAGACCAACTGGAATTCCATATCCAAAATATATCTACTGGTACATGAGACTTCTGAAAATATTCAACGATCATTGTTACTTGGTTGCAGCTACTTCACCTAGGCCAGAAGCGGGCATCCTACTGCACCTTGCTGTAGGGCTGGGCATTGGCAAAGAGAGGTGCCTGCGCAGGACCCCCCTTTGGCTCCCAGCGTTCCTCTCCTTCAGAGCTCATAAAAGTACTCCATGAGAGGAGATGATCACGGTGATGTGCCTACTCTGACACTTGCAGTAGTGCTCAAAGCTGAGGTCCTAGGTGAGAACAGGGGGTGACAGATAACAGGGGTGGGGATCCAGGCGGTGCAGGAAGGAGTGGGGGAAGAGCTCAAGACTAACTGCAGTTAAGAGGCCTGGGTTTGGTTTTGAGCGATGTGGTAGAAAAATGCAGATGAGAGGGCATGCATGTGCTTGGAAAGGCAAACTTGTTTATTAAAAATAATTAGTGAGCTCGTGTTACACAAAACTGAGGCTGCTGTCCATACTCTTTTTGATGTTTGGCGTTGTTTTTTGTTGCATTTTTTCCCCCTTCCATCTATCTCATTGACACTTCCTTCACTGAAAGTTTGCATGGTGAGTCACAGTTCAGATAAGGTAAAGGCTGGAAATAATCTGATCTGTATCATCTTGATGAGCAGAATGAGATGCTTCCCCCCTTAAGCTTTCTATTGATCTCTCTAAAAAAACTGAATGATCTTCACTGACCATAGTAAAAACAGGAAATTAGCAGGGCAATAACCACAACTGGCTTTAAAACAATTTAATGGCTTTACAGAAGGGATTGTGAAATCTGGTTGCCTGGAACAGAGGACCCTGTGTTTGACCTGAGACAGGGTTACTGAAGTGGCAATGTTGGCACAGGTCCTGATTAAATTCTGCCCAGGTTTTGCTTGTCCCAGGCATGTGATGTCTCCCACATTCGTCATGGCTCCTCTTGTCTTTTGGGGGATGTCCTTCAGTTGGTTGCAGTTCCTGCAGAGCCTGCGTACTGCAGCAGAACAAGAGCTAGCACGCTGCTTCTCATGCAGCCATCTTCTGTGGAGTTACCCAGACAATCTTGATAAAAACAAATGGTGTAGCCCTGAGTTGGAAGATTCTTTCCAATCCTCTATCCCAGAGTCCCCTTGAATTCACTGTAAACCTAGACATGAGGATGAAAATGGCGATAAAACGCTTACATGCATTTCCAAATCCCTGTAAAACTCTGCCTGTCCTCCTCAGTCTAGCTGCTTTTTTCATCTTCTGGTTAGGTAATGTAAATCTATTTCACTCCAAAGAAGGTAGCTGTTGTTTAGGCTTAAATACGATTGTGATTGTGTTAGCTGATTGTGTTTGTCACTGCTGGAACTGCTGGCAGGTAAGGTCAGATCAGATTGCTCTTGCGACTCACTGGTGGATGTTTTCTCTGAGAGCTAAAAAATGCTGGCGCAGTTTAGTCTTCTGGAGGCTATTCTGTCTCACTCAAATCCAGTGAAATGTTTTGGTTTATGTTTATGAACCACTTATTGAATTTGCTGTTAAACATATAGGAGTAGTCAATCACATCGTTAAAAATGTATAAAATTGTGATGTAAACTCAATGAGAACAGGTGAGCGTTTTTAAAGTCAAAAGCTTTCACTGCTGTGGAAAATAATTTATATTCCAGTCTAGCTCATGATGCATTAATGCTAAATCTCTGAGGAGAAACTGCAAGAAGTAAGTTGTATCTTGTAAATACAAACTTAGGTGGAGAGTATTTACTGTTGTATTACTATAAGAGTTGTTGCTAGGAGTGCATCTGTGCACATTTGTTTTACTTCACACCATGTGTGCAGCTTTGGGACCCACCCTTTAGCAGCCCTTCCTTTTAAAGAAATTCAGATAATGTGTGCATCAACAGTTTGAAAAACACAATGCTCTAGGAATAGCTCTCCTAGGGCTAGAGGTGTGGTTGGAAAATAAAATTCATAAGCAGAGAAGAAAGAATTTTCCTGGGGTGGAGGGCAGAGAAAAAACAGGGACAGATCATCTTCAGAGCACCATGTCATCAGTATTCTTCCCCAGCGCCCTGAGGAGAGCCCAGTGCCCCTGAAGGAATCATGTTTTAACTCTTTGATTGTCCGCTGTTTAATTTAGCTGGCAAAGGAGTTCTCTGGACCATGTATACTGATATGCAAATAACCTCTGTAGCACTGGGGCCATTCCAGCAGATAAAAGCAAATGTTGTGCCAGTATTTCTATATTACCTTTTTTTTTTTTTTTTTTTAAGCACTTAATTCAGTGAAATGACTTGATACGCCAACACTTAATCTGGGCTTGGAAACTCAGCTTCAGAATTATGGGGCTCTGCTTTCCTATCACTGCATGGAGTTTGTCAGATATCTCAAAATAGGGTCTACATACCCTAGTACTATGTAGCGAGAAAAACTCTCTGAAACTTTTCTACCAATATTTTCATTCATTAAAGATTCATGGCTATAATCTTTCCAAGGTGTATCTTACAGTTGTTTGTTGGAAAGAATGGGAAAAATTATCCTAAAAACTATGGTAGTGCCTATATCTGCTGCTACCCACTTTTCCTGCTGGTCTGGCGCTACAGCACTTTCCCACAAAGTGAAATATTTGGTGTTTATGTTAGAGGAATCAGGCCAGATCTGTCAGCCCAAGAGAGGTGAGGTGGATTCATCTCCACGCTCCAAGGTCCAACTGAATCGAGGATGAGCATGTACTCCCAGTCTAACATGCCAGCTCCCCCTGGGGTTTTGCCATTAGCGATGCACCACCCTGGCTCTCAGGGCACATCACCTTCTTGTGAGCTAGTCCAGCTTGATTGTGACTAACACTGATGCACTCGTACACCCGCTCCCCCTGGCACCACTGACATAAAGGCTTCTGAGCCCTGCTCCGCTCTAGTGGATGGCATTTCTTGGCACTGACTCAGGTCTCCAGCCACTGTCACCCAGGTACACGGGCTCTCCAACCCATGGCTTGACTAGAAGCTGGCCCTCAGACCCCCATACACACACATACACCCAAAATAGAGAGTTCTTTGCTCAGGAGAAGAGTTACAAAGGAATTTAATAAGAAGATAGGAATGGGCTGTGCTGAGCAGGTGCAGGGTGTGGCAGACAGGCATATCACCCAGCAAACTGCTCACACACAACTGTCCCTTTCTAACCCCTTATCCCTCTATTTTCCCACACTTGTTCCTTCCCAAATCACCTAGATCTCTCCCTTTCTTTGCCTTTGATTCCTCCCCTAAGCATCCCATAAGAAGTCTTCTGCAATCTTGAAATGCTCTTCCCTTGCATCCCATAATGTGTCCTATATCTGCAGGCTGTGAGCCCCCTCAGTCCTGAAGTTGCTGTGGTGTTGACTCATCTCGATGGGCTTCATGCTTGCACCCTGGGGCTGAGGCTTTCCTGGGAGGGGCCTGGGCAGGTCTTCCCTGCCTCTGAGTCCTTCCTTCGGGTCCCCATCTGCCATTGTGTGCCTGTGCTCCTCTGGACTTGTGGAGATGGGCCTTTGATGGGCTGAGGGCCTGAGAGGAGCCAGGGCAGGGGTATTATTTGGGCAACACCCATGCCATTGTCTCTCAGCACTCCTTTGTGGCTGGGTAGGCAAGCTTTTATCACATCATCTCGCAGTTTATGTCTTTCTCAGCCTGGTTATCAAGGTTTTAAACCTACAATTTCCCTGAAGAGCGATACGAAGTGGGAGCTTTGCCTTTCCAGTCCAGTAATTCTTATTGTTTCATATGCAATGTATAAACATTTCAGGGATCAGAACCTGCTGGCTTCCCCTTCCCTAGGTAAATGACTTAACTAGTAAGCTCTAGCCATCAGCTTTCTCTTGGTCTCATTACTTTCGACCTAATGAATCTTGTGTTTCTTTTTGAACACTGCCACAACTGCAAAAGGAGTGGAGGGTGCCTTGCTTCTCAGCTGTGTGATGTAACTTTGGACACCTAAGAGTCAGGAGACCTTTTTACAAAAGGTAAGCCTTGTCCCCTTGCCTGTCTTTTCAGGGTTTTGCTGAGTGTCAGACCTATTGCGAATGTTCTGGATCAGGCCTCACATGTGATATCAGCATCTTTCTTGCAGGTTTGAGGGGGAAGTCAAATAAGAGCTGCTATGCTTGTGTCTGTGCTTCAGAAGGAGTAGTTTGTGCTGGGCGTTATGGCATCAGCGGCTTTTGTTTCATGTGCTAAAAGCAGAGCAGAGTGGCGCAGCGGAAGCGTGCTGGGCCCATAACCCAGAGGTCGATGGATCGAAACCATCCTCTGCTAATGTAGCAATGTTTTCTTTTGAAAATTTGTGGGTTAGGATAAAGACAGTTTAACAGGTAAAGCAAAATAAGGATTTCACTCACTGCTTCCCGTTGGCAGGCAGGTGCTCAGCCATTCCCCAGGAGAGCAGGGCTCCATTACATGTAACGGTGACTTGGAAAGAGAAACGCCATCGCTCTGAACATCCCCACATTCATCCTTTTCCCCCCAGCTTTATATGCTGCGTGTGATGTCATATGGTATGGAATATCCCTTTGGTCAGTTGGGGTCAGCTGTCCTGGCTGTGTTCCCTCCCAACTTCTTGTGCACCCCCAGCACAAGTGGGGTGGGGTGAGAGGCAGAAAAGGCTTTGACTCTATAAGCACTGCTCAGCAGCAACTAAAACATCTCTGTATTATCAACACTGTTTCCAGCACAAATCCAAAACACAGCCCTGTGCTAGCTACTATGAAGAAAATTAACTCTACCCCAGCCAAAACCAGCACAACCTGTTACAAGATATGTGGCAACCAGCTGCATGGTACAGCTGCGTCCCCTCTATGCCATAAATTGCAAGTATTTTTATTATCACGAGTCCAGTGAAACCATCATCTTCTTCCAGTATCCTGGACAAATACTGGGACACCCTTAATAGCTGATAAGACTATATTTTCATGCGGAAAATGTGGACCTGGCTGCGACAACCCAGACGTATGTAAGCCTTAGCTTGGGTGCTTCTTAGACATCTGTTAGAACTATCTGGGCATGCAGAGAAGGAAAACTGTGTGTAGTCAACTTTGACAGTACATGTGTGCTTTCAGTCTCAAGTTGCTGCTGAATGGGGGGTTTTTAGATTGCAGTTCTAAATGTTAGGTACCAAAAATTTTCCAAAGTGTTTTGGATCTAGCTCTAAGTAGGATGACCTGGGTAATTACAGACCTGTCAGACTGACAGGGATCCTAGGTGAAAGAATAGAATTACTGATACAGGATTGCTTCAATTATTGTTTCAATAATAAATTAATGTAATTAATGCCAGTCAACATGGGTTTGCAGAAAATAGATTCTGTCACATTGGTTTGTAATTGCATCCAAAAGATATTAAGTGTGGTTATAAAGGTAATTCATTCAGACACGTGAGGCGTGTGACTTGACCACACAACACTAAATCAAGGAAGCGCAATGATACAGAGACCATCCAGGCCCCAGGTAAAACATTAGCTTAGGATGTCTCAAAATTTAATTTTAAATGAAGAATTGTAATTGCACATTTTCAGTAAGATCTTAGGTCATTACTTGGCTGCATGCTATTAAATATTTACCTTTGAAGGAAACACAGTCATCACATACTTGTTGCGGGAGAGCTGAGCACGCACACGACCAATGTGATCAAGCAATGCCCGTTTATTACAAGTAAGAAAGCCCTTTTATAATGTTCTCCCGCACACGTGAGTAACATGCAGTACAAGTCCTCAAGATTTGACAGTTAACTTAGCCCGCGCTTTAAACCTTCTTATGACTGGATAAAAAGAGCCACATCAGCCTTGCCAGGCTTCCTGCCTTGGGGAACTTCCTCTTCCGTCCCAACCCCTTCCAGGGGGTGTTTGTCTCGTCGAGTTTCTCCCCCCTCATTCAGGGTCACGTCCTTACCACATTCTTGCTCAGGCTGAGGCTCTTATC